TCATTATATGGCCTAATGATGCTGTACCATCTTAGTTTGTGTAAATATACTCTGTTTGCACAATGACAACATCATCCAATGGCAAATTTCTCAGAACATAGACTCATCATTAAATTATGTAACTATATGTGTAAATCCAGAACAGATGAAGCTATATATAGATTAATGGTTACATAGGACTGGTACATGGGAATTGGAAGGAACAGAAGCTGACTGTGTAACTAACTGCTAATGAACAGGGACTATATTTGGAAAGTGATCAACCTATTCTAAAATGGATCTGATCATGGTGATAATTATGCAACTCTGAGCACCTTAAAAATCATCAAATTGTTCAATTTGAATAGGTGAATTTTTACAGTATGCAATTTATATCCCAATGAAACTGTTTTTAAAATTAAAGCATTCTCCTCTTAGGCATTAACTCTGCCTTTGGTTTCAATTTCCTTTCCTAAGCCTAAGAGAAAACTTCATTTTATTAATTATTACCAGTAAGGATGCTGGTAGTTTATAAAAGTTGGAGCCCAAAAGGTGTATAATAACATTGTAGACTAACATCAGGGAAGCTTTCAGGTAGGGACAAGTTTTATCTCCAGGACCTGTTCCCCCACTGGAAAGGTTAATGAATCTTCTCTTTATCATCCACATACTTGTTTTTTTGTTCATAAAAAGAGACATACTGACTTTTTAGCAAAGGAAACCCTCTTCAAATCCAGCATGTCAGAATCACAAGCAAGTTTTTAAGAATAGCTGCTTCTATCAAATATTCACATGATATTGAAATGACATTTATAAAAATCTTATTATATAAATGGCACTGTCTTTATTCTGTTTTATTGTTGTTCTTGTTGTTATTGCTAAGTACAGGATTGAAAAAGGATACTTAGCCACTAAGCCACATCCTCAGCTGCCTTTTTTATTCCTCTATTTTGTTTTTTTAATTTTTAGACCATCTTACTGAGTTGCTTAGGGCCTTGCTAAATTGCTAAGGCCGACTTTGAATTTGTGATCCTCTTGCCTCAGCCTCCCAAGCTCTGGGACTGGAGGCATGAGTCACTGAGCCTGGTTTCTTCTTAAACAAATGTTATTGAAATGCTAGCTTATATGGAAAAGTGCAAATTCAATACATTTTTAATATTTGAAATGCTTTTATATCACCTTTAGGAACAAGAATCAAAACCAGTCTATTTCCGTGTATCTAATTTTCTGAATAGCCATACCTATTTTCAAGCACAGCTCTTCTGGTTTATAATCTTAAATTCAACTAATGTAAATGGGAAAATTCTGGATGCTACAGGTTTTTTTTTTTCTAATTCTACTGTATACATTATTTTTGTCTTCATTTCTCCTTTGCTTTTCCTTTCAGACATCAGAAATTTAAAGAAAACCACACTACAGGTCACTCTGATGTAGCAACAGTAAAATTTCCAGAGTTTTCTCCAAATTATTTGTACAATTATAGCCCAGAATTTTAAATAAAGTGAAAACAAATGATATTTTTAAAGTTTATTGAGACCTGAACTCATCACTTGATAAAACAACAGATATCGCATCTTAATAAAATCCATTTAATTTCACAGTACATCTGCCATTTGAAAACATTTTTTCCTTCTGAACACCACTTAATGAATCTTTAATTTACCTTTCATTCAGTATCCACTGAGGGTCATTAAAAAACAATGTCTTAAGTCAATGAACTTAATTACAGTCATCATATGTTATTATGCACTATTATATAATACCATATGCTAATCATCACGAGACTTTAATAGATAACAAGTAATTACACAACTGCATACACACATCACTTGTACCATAGACCTTCATTCTAACAATATATTTTAAAATAAATAGTACTTTTAAAATATCTGCATTCAAAACAATGACTAAATGATTTTTTAGATTTTAAAACTAAATACTGTATTAAATAACAGTGTCAATTATTCCCTAGCTTTGTTTAGGTATTAGTTTATGTCCCAATTTATAATCAGAAGCTCTGAAATAAAGAGACATTGCATTTAGATATTGAAATACATTGAACTAAAGTAATTTTTAAAAAATATTTGACTTCTAGAAAAATAAAATAAATAATATGCCTAGATATGTAAGGTAAATATTCATAAAACGAGAGATTTTTTGCCATTCACTCAGGCCACTGTCCCACTTTTGACAGTTAAGAAATTCACCTTGAGCTTTGTCCCCTCTTTGTCTTTGTTCTTAATGCTACTTCTAGCCATAATTAGTCTATCTTATGCATTTATGTTAGAGTTCTTTTAAAATTAAGTATATTTGATTTAGTCTCCATCCTTCTCAAAAATAGTCCTTAAATACCAATTCTCTAGAATAAAATGAACTCTCCTTGGCAGGAAATGAAAGGCTCAGCAAAAGTAAGTCCCTCCCCTTCACATCTCATCTAACATTTTGTTTTGAAATGTTTTACATGCATGTACTGAACACCTGTGCATCCATTATTCAGCTAAGAAATTTACTTAATTTCATCTATTCTGAGACACATACTGTTTACTCTTTTTTCACATTTGAATATCTCTGAATTCACTTGAGTCTTTATTGTTACCATGGTCCAGGTGGTGCTTTTGACACATTTTCACTTATTTATGCGTGTGTTAATTTGGTTATTTTTCTGAATTTGACTAAGCAACTATTCTCCTCTAGATTTCAAGTTATTGAACCATTTAGGGATCATTTTAGGAAGGATAGGAGTCCTGTTAAAAACCTACCTTGATAACTTTGCTAAGTTCAGGAAAGTGTTTGCATCAAAATTTGCAAAATGATTGTCACTGTCTAAGAAGAAAGTTCCAGCGACAGTAACAAAGCATTCTTCTGACCCAAGTTGTGGCACTACTTTTTTAATGGCACAGGGATAATATTGCAGGGAAAAATAGAGACATTCAAAACTTTTTTAATGAACTTCAGAATGTAAAATATTTTAGAAAGATCTCAATTTGTATTTCCCCTTTTTAGTATAATCAGTAGTGATCTATAACAACACACAAAAAGCTTTATGTAAAGCAACATAAGAGTTCTTACAATAAGTATAAAATAAAAATTCTAAGTTTTTCTTTCTTAGAGATACATAAAATAACAGCTTGTCTTGCAATACACTTGCGCCTTACAATGTAATGCTTCTGATGATGTAAAAACACCCTAAACTGGTGTCTTAGGTTCAGTAACATAAATGTTTTAAAAGCTTCATCACCTATATCTTATAAAATTTTCTCACTTTGAATTGCAATTTCCTTATTTGAAAAATGATAATAATCATAGATCCCAGCTCACAGGATTATTAAGATTATAGGAGTTGAGTTGGAACCATGTGTGTGGCATATAAGTGTTCAGTAATGTTTACTGCCCATCTTATTCATTGTTTTACATAAAATTGCTTATATGTTTCTCTAATATTTACTCTATTTCTTCACAACACTTTTATCTTCTACTCTTACATTTTTTCCTCTTATCTTCCTCTTTCTCCTATTATGGAGAATATTTTCAAAGAAGTAGAGCAAATAATACTTTAATCATCACACCTGGCACTCATCCCTAGCACCAATGACCACCAACCTACCCTACCCACATTCTTATCCACTGTCCCCTTATAATATTTTGCATGGAAAATTCTAGGATATATCCTTTTATGTGTAGTTATATTTGCATTTTGTAATTCTAAAAGATAATGACTATTTATTAATATAACTATAATACCAAATATCTAAGGAGTGTTCAAACACAAATGTTTTTAAGTAAATTATACTTGATACACTCTAGTTGTAAAAGCTGGAAAATTAATGTATTTATTTCATAAAAGCATTTTCAATATCCAGAATTTAAATTATTAAGTTTCTATTCAATAATTGAAAGGAATTACTAAACAGCAATACCCAAATCACTAGATTTCCTTAACATTTTCTAGAATTATCATTGTTTGTAATGAATCATATTTCTAGCTACTGAAAAATTTGGCTTTAAAATACTTTTGCTAAATAATGACGATCTGGTCTAAAACAACTTAGATATCATCAGATATTCATTTTCATTTAAAAACTTTGATTAGCTAGATGTAGATTGTTTATATCTTTGAGATATGTGCATCAAAAGTTCAGTCAGATGCCGTAGTATACACTTATAATCCAAGCATCTCTCAAGGCTGAGGCAGGAGATTTGCAAAGCTCAAAGCCAGTCTAAGCAATTTTTTAGTGAGACTTTAAGCAAATTAGTTATTTCTAGTGGGGTGCGAAAAACAATAAACAGATAAAAAATAAAATGTGTATGGTATGTTAGTGAGATAGAAGAAAACACCATGGATTTAGATAGAAGGTAGGGTTATAAATGAGGGGTAGAGGTGTTAGAAATATGAGTATGTAATCAAGGAGTTTGTAATGGATCTCTGCTTTTAGTGAGACCTTAAGCAACTTAATGAGACCCTGTCTCAAAATTTAAAAAAAAAAAAAAATTAAAATGGCTAGGGATGTGGCTCTGTGAAGTACCACTACCTTTAATCCCTAGTATGGAAAAAAAAAAGTTAGACATGTTAGAATTTATTCTTAACACACAGTTTCATAGATTTCACCTTATTCTTCAAAGCATTTTATAGAATTACCATTGCTTGTAAATGCATTCACTAACAGTTACTGAATGCCTGCTGTGGGCTGCTAGTCACTTTTCTAAACAGGTGGTAGGGCCCTGAAAAGAACAGCAGAAACCTCACCTTCATGGAAGTTATTTCTATTGGGGTGAGAAAAACAATAAACAGACAAAAAAATTAAATGTGTATGGTATGTTAGTGAGATAGTAGAAAACATCATGGATGGAGACAGAAGGTAAGGTTATAAATGACGGATAGAAGTATGAGAGATTTGAATATGCAATTCAGGAGTTTGTAACTGATCTCTGCTTTTTGTGATCATCCTTCCATTCCTACCACTGTCTTCTTTAAGGAAATATCAACCAATAATAAAATAATGAGTTTTCATCACCATGCTTACCAGTCATTTCCATTCAATTCTCCTCTTGAGTAACAGTGAATATAAATACTGAAATTTATCTGTAGGTCAAGCAGGCCACAAAGGATTTATTTGACAAAAAAACTGCCTAACTGACTTCAAATACATCCTTCACCATGCTTCAGAATAAATAAAAATATAATTCTTGCCACTAACAAGGTTAAAAAAATAATATTCGAACATTTTCACTTCGATTCAAACAAGTAATTGTGTTAGTACAATGAGCCTTGGAAGCAGCCTCCAGCCTGAGGTTCCAGGTAACCGTGGTAACCTCCTCAGAGCTATTAAATTACACTGTCTGTGTGTCTGCCTTCTATGGGACTCAGGATGATGATTTATAAGAGAAATGTAGAGCTGCTCTATATTCCCACAGCTTATCTCAGAGCTGTAAGATCACCATTTGTGCAATCACTTCTTTGCCACATGACGGAATAAAATGCTTTCAATGCAACTCAAATAACAAACAAGATGAATTTTGATCCTGCTTAATTCTTTCAAATATAAAACGAACAAATTTGATCATAGTGTTAGGAACATAAAAAACAATTATTGACCAAACAGTGTCTCATTAATTACTGAGGACAGAAGACAATTGTGTTACTTAATTTATAAATTTGGCCTCTGAAAACCTTCAATGATATTTTAAAAAAGAATCATTGAGTGCCAGTGAGCCTATGGGGAGACTGCCACTCTGTAAACTCTAAAGTATGGATGAGCACATTTTAGGGAAAAAAAAAAGGTGGGGGTGGATAATTATTTTTAGGAAAATATTTGTGTGTGTGTGCAGGACATAAAACCCAGATCCTTGTTTATGCTAGTCAAGTGTTCTATGCCTAAGGTACATCCCTGCCCTCAAACATCTTAAAATGATTATAGATTATAACTTACCATCCAGTTCTATAGTCTAGCTTAAAGAATTAAAAGGAAAGGGGATCAAATTACAGTCATAAAAACTGTTATTGCAATTATATATGAAATAGAATTTTTTTTTGCCTTTTTCACTTTTTTTTTCTTTGTGGTACTAGGGATTGAATTTAGGGTATCACACATGCTAGGCATGAATTATTCCACTGAGCTACACTCAACCCATTTTTTTAAATTGACACAGGTCTTGCTAAATTGCCTAGACTGATTTGGAACTTGTGAATTTCCTATCTCTGCTTGCCAGGTAGCTGGGTTTAAGGCATGCACCGCCACACTCAACTCTTTGTTACCTCTTTAAATATTTATTTACTTTCTCAATTTTCAATAATTAAGCCATACCATAATAATAATCAGTTGAAAGACAAGCAATTGGGGGCCTTTTAATGATATGTGTAGCAAGGAGCAATCAAGTGACTGTGTCTACGCAATATAGATAGATCTTTAATTTAAAATGCAGGATGGCCTAATTCATAAAATACAGAGTTCTAAAGAAAAAATATATAGAAAATTCTTACCACAATTATCTAGTATTACAATTTTGGTTTTAGACATTTGATAAGGACTCAAATGTTAATGTCCAATTATTTGGTGTCTAATGTAATAAAGATAACTAAAAATAACAATAGCTAGCATTTCTTTTATTTAGCTACTTACTTACTTTTGTTACTGGGGATCTAACCCAGGAGCGCTTTACCACTAAGCCACATCCCCAGCCCTTTTTATTTTTTATTTTGAGCAGAGTCTCACTAAGTTGCTTAGTCCCTCACTAAATTGCTGAGATTGGCCTTGAACTTGCAATTCTCCTTCCTTAGCCTCTAGAGTCACTAGAATTACAGGTTTGAGTCACTGGGACTACGTTTATGCCACTGCAGCCAGCAATAGTCAGCATTTACTGAGAGTTTACATGAGGCCTTTTTAGTCTCACTAAAACCTTCTGAAGTGGTGCTTTAATGATCCCCATTTTCAGATGAAGAATCCAAAATTTAAAAGGTTACATCAATTGTCCATGGTCACAGTCCTAAATGGCAGGATGAGAATGTGAATTTAGTACAGACTCCCCCACTTCTAATCACAACACCGATATCTTCTTTCATGTAAACATTGTATAGCTCTTTCAGCATTCTTGAATGGCAGCTGATATAAATCCTCGTTGGCAACTCTAACAGCCTGTTTTGATGTTGTGTCTTTTATGTTGTGACCATATTTTCTGAGCCACAGAATGTGCCTACATGGTCTGACAAGTTAATGTATACTTACAGGGAAAAAAGACAGAACATGGAGAGTGGAATCAGTCCTAGAAAGTGCGGAATATAAGGACTGTTATGCCATACATTTGAAAACAAGCAGCAGATATTAAAAACAAAAAAAGCAGAAAGTTATTACTGAAACACTAGTGAGGACTGACTTAAGTAGTCACCTGGGACTTGTAAATCTAGTTTGTTCCTATTTTTGCATTGCTCAAACTTTCTCACCCTCTTCCATCACGATTTTGGTTTTGTTTCTCATTTTTCTTTACAGAGTTTTATAATCTCATCTTATTCGAACAAATGCCCTAACATTGTTTTGTTCTAAGGCCATGGCATTGGGCCTAATGATGTTCTGTAGCCAACTGATAAAAGGAATTCAATAGCACACAGGTATAGGCACACACCCTCACATGCACACACACAAAAAACTTGGCAAGCCTATTAGGCATGAGACATAGTTGAAATATTTTAACATCTTATGTTGAAGTGCTATAAACATGTTAATCTCCCCAGAAGGCATGTAAGTGTAATATATGAAAATACACAGATTTTAAATACCTAAAAATCTACGTAGGTATAAAAAAGACAACGGAGAAAAATTACATCCTTATTAATTGATAAGTGGACAGAAGCAGATGAAAACAACTGAGCAAAGTAGCATTTGAAAAGCAAACAATAAGATTATGTTTCCACAAATATTATAAAAGAATTCAGGATACATAATGGCATGAGTTTAGAAGAACTTAACCCAACCTACAGAAATATAAATGGAGCTGAAAAACTATTCACACTAAAACAATTCAGAATCATTTGGTGGCATCAATTAGTCTGTGGCATTAATTGGGAATTTTGGGGGATATTTGCACTTATTTAGAAAACAAAAGTATGTGTTTGTGTGTTTGCCCCAGCAGTGCATTAACTGGCACCTCAATGACCTAAGAAGAGACTTTTTCCTAGCACGAGTGTGACATCAGAAGCACCTGAAGTATTGACCCATTAATAGAGTAGCTTCTTGGGTGGTCTTTTTTCCATGACACCAATATTATATGTTATCTTAAACAGAGTCTGGAGCAACAGTGCAACAAAATTCATGAACCCCTAACAGGACAGCAGAGCTACTGCAAGAATTGTTCAGTCACACACATATGTTGCAATAAGTATATGTATGTGTATATGTATATGTATTACATACTTGTATTTTTCAAATTAATAAAATGCTGTTTAAATTAGTAAATACTTGCTTTAAATAGATTCTGAATTCAAAGTACCTTTTTATCAAGCTTTCTCGCTCAACAAATATTAAAACACTGATTACAATAAAATGAGTTTACAACAAAGGTTTACATTTAGAGTCTTAATACTTGAAATGTATGGGATTCACTATAATATAGTGTCATTTTTCTTTGAGAAATAGTTACTCATTTTAAAAACATAAGGCAAACTGAGTGTGCTATACTTTAATAATATAATAGAATTATCAATTTAAAAAAGCCAGCCACTTTACTTCATCAGTGAACTGGAGCAACATTAGAAGATTAGGAAGGCTTATCAGTTCAAGACACTTTAAGACAAGTCCAGTGGTTATAAAATTAATTTTTAATGATTTCTACACCATCTGGGAGATTCTCATTACATGCAATAAAAGCTAACCTAATAGTATTTTAAAAATTCTTATTCTACCTAATCATCACAGAGGTCTAATAATTTTATGTTCAAGTCTTAATAATCAAAATTCATACATTTGTGTAGAATTCTAAGATTAAGATAATATTATGATAATTTATAGATTTAAGTAATTTTTAAAGTAAATTTTTTAATGTACCCCAATAATTAAAAAATATGTAGCATCAGGGGGTTTTAACAAACATAAAGTAACTGGCAATTTCTTATATGGCTGATCTATTTTAGAGGGGTCCATTCTTCCAATGGAGTTTTGCAAGGGAGGTGATAAATGCACCTCCTTTTTAAAAAGATATTTGGATTAAAATTTTCTGTATCCTCTAGACGATTATTCATTTTGCTAAACTATAATGAGGTCAATGTTTACAAGCCAAGAAATTCTGATTTCCAGGATTATTTTTTTCATGTTTTTACTTTCAGTTTAAGAACTACAGTTTCCTCTCTGAATGCTCAAGTTTTCGCTTCATAATATGTAGATTTGACACCAAGAAGTAGGTAAAACTTTGAGCTTACCTCTCTGTCACAGAGAACCCCCAAAAGCCCTCCAAAATGAGTTTAGCTGAAAGAACATTGGTGCTCACAACATTCACAAAAGCCCATCTTGGTAGATATTCTGTCACTACTTTAATCCTTTTTTTTCCCCAACACTTTTGTTAAGTTTTATGTAAATTCTAAATTTCTTTTATCCTAATATTACTTTTATTTCTATAAATTTTGACATATTTTAAATAGTATTCATCCAGAACTTGTAAAATCATTCATTGCTCTGGTGAGTCAGGAATGCAAAAATATAAGTTACAAGGTAAGGAAAATGATCTTCCTTTCCCTACTCAAAACATCCATTGACAAACTGAAGATTCCATTTTGAGTATTGCTTAGGTCGTTGAAGTTTAAAAAAATCAAAGAGAAAAATGTCAGATGAGTCTTGACACTCATAAAGATTTATAAAATCCTAGCAAACTTCCTTTAAAATCTTTGATTCTTGGTAAATGACAACATTGGTCTCAGGAGAGTTTGTGGCTTTGCTTTGGAGAAAGACTAGGTTGCCTACAGGTGTGTTCTGATGAGATCTCTCACCTGCTCTTAGAAGACTATAGCCAGGTACTGGTAAGCCTGGCAAGGTCTTTGGTGAGGATAAGCAGCAACCTATTAAGTCCCAAGTTTCCAATTCTATAAATGTTTAAAGGAAATTGACACAGGTACACAAAAATAAGTAGACATAAAAATCTATTTTAGACTATATTTACATTTTTATAGGTGTTCCACCTCTAGGACAATGGGACAAAATGAATTAAGAATAAATAACAGCAGATATACTTTCTTCCTGCCAGAATAAACTCTGACAATCTGTTCTCCAAACCAGCATTTAT